TCCTTGTCCTGCTGCAAATCTTGCATTGCCAAACCCCAAGCTTTGATTATCTGCCACCTTTTCTACTACTCAAATACTACTTTTCTACTACTCAAATGATGCTGAAGGAAAGTAGACTAAATCACAAAGTAATGACTAGGCTCATTACAAATTTGTTATATAATCTCAACTGGGACTTCACTGTAGCCAGACAATCCTGTTACACCTTTGATCTGTTATCCCACTCACCATATCAGCAATTCCAAAACTTTTCATCCCTCTTCAAATCTACAATGACACTTCCTCAACCTACCATAGTCAGCTGAGGACCAGACCCTGTATTTCATCAAAATAATTCAGGACATTTGCAAGAGTTTCTTCCCCTCTTCTACATCTCATATCACTCAGATATCTTCCCTCACTATCTCTTCTTTTACTTCTCCCCCACATGAAGAGATGATCCCTCTTCCTTGCCAAAGCAAATCTCTGTACATGCACAAGTGATCCCATTCCATCATGTCTCCACTCTCTAATCCCTAATCTTTCTATCTATTGGCTGCTTCCCTGCTGCCAATAAACATATCCATTCCCTGATTCTTAAAAAACTGTCACCTGATTATATCACCTAAGACTCAACTCCATTTCTTGGCTAAAATCCTTGAAAAAACCATTAAAATCTGGCACCCCCACCTCCCTCTCACTTGATTCTAAACCCTTTGAAATCTGATTTCTAACCTCATCATTAGACTGAAAGTCTGTCCAAAGTTATAAACGGTTTACTAGCTGCCAAATCTAATAGCTTTTTCTCTATTTTCATTCTTTTTTAACATCTATGCAATTACTGATACTATTGATCAAAATCTTCTCTTTGATACTTTTTTCTTTCTGGATTTTTCTGACATTATTCTTTCCTGATTCTTCTCTTGTCTGACTTTCTTATACAGGTCATGCATGCTGATTATGATCATCTCCCAAGATTCTGTCCTGTACCCTCTTCCTTCCTCTATACTGGAGATCTCATCATCCTGATAGGTTCAATTATCAAATCTATTAAGATGATTCCCAGATATATACACAGTATCCCAAAAGTCTTAGTGCAGTTGAAGCCATTAAAGCTTAATCAATTGCCCATTAGACATCACAAACTAGATATCCTATAGAGAACACAAGTTCAATTTGTATAAAACAAAAATCATTATATTTTCCCCAAAACATTCTTCTCTTCAGATCTTCCCTATTACTGTGAAGGACACAACCATCCTCTCTAGACATCCAGCCTCATAATCTTTGTGTCATCATCAAGTCTTCCCTTACGCCCACCCCACATGTCCAATCTGCTACCATATCTTGTTATTTCTACCATCATAATGTTTTTCTTCTCTACTCAACTTCTTAATGCTCACACGGACATCACCCTGATATCAGCCCTTATTACCTTATGCTTAGACTAAATGCTAAAGTCTTCTGTTTGGTCTCTCTGCCTCAAGTCTCTTCCTACTCCAGTCTATCCTCCACTCACTATGAAAATGATTTTCCCAAAGTATAGGTTTGACCATGTCACACACATACTTACATATACACATCCCACCTACCTCAAACCCAACTCAGTAAATTCCAGTGGCTCTCTATAGCATCCAGGATCAAATATAAATGCTGCGTTTGGCTTTTAAAGCCCTTCACAACCTATTTCCTCTCTAAATTTCCAATCTTCTTATACTTTATTTCCCTCCATTTAATTTCTTTATGTTTCTCATGCATGACCCTCCATCTTCCAAATCAGTGACTTTTCTCTGACTGTACTCCATGCCAGCAATGGCCTCCCTCCACACATTTACCTGGCATCCCTGGCTTCCTTCAAGACTCGGCTCAAATTCCCAAGGATGGCTTTGCCAGTCCACTGACAGCTTTGCTACCAGATAACCCTTTGAGGTTATTTTCAATTTGCACAGTACATATCTCGTACACGCAATTTTTTTGGATGTTGCCTCACTCATTAGAATGTGAACTTTAGAGTAGAATCATGTTTCTGATTTTATTTGTATCCCACTGCTTAGCATTGTGTACACTACATAGTAAACATTTAATAAATGCTTGTTGACTGTCTGCTGAAAGGTACATGAGTGCAAACATGGGGCCAGATATGAAACAGAACAGCCCTTAGCGGAATGAGTACTGAATCTAGAGTCACAAAACTGTGTTCAGATACTAGATCTGCCACTTACTTCCATTACTTCAATATTGGGAATTAGTAATTAAATTAGGAGTGACTATTGACTGATAAAATATGGATTAATAAATAGATGCTATGAATTCAGCAATACTGAAAATATATTGGGGGAAAATCCTACCAATTAAGTTTAAAAAGGAACAACATGTCTTCAATCCCTATACTTATAATTAATGTACTAATTGTAGACTATCCTTTTCTATTCATTACAGTCTTAAAGGATCACTAATTGCCCATAGTGAGTTAGCTTCCTTGAAGTTGCTCCTTGTGTATCTGAGTAATAAAAGTGATTTTTCTTGAAATTTCTCATTCAAATTGATTCCCTTCCAACTCTATTAGTCTGAAATACTGAAGTTTCCCAGTAAATGTGACTATTAATCATTAAAATTATCCTGAAAATAATTTTTCTCATATTTTTCCCATTATGAGTAACTGAGTCTAGACTTCTAATTTCAAGAAAAAGTCAATTCAATCTAAATTTATTCTGACCCTATCCATGTGCATTGTCTCTGGTAAACCCTCCTTTCAGTATTATCTTCTGAAAATGGGAGTAAAAAACCCCACAAAGCAACATATATTTCTAAGGAAAAAATATGAATTTTAATAGTCTGTTCAAATCCCCTTCCAATAAAAAAAATTATAGTTTCAATAATAACAATTAATGTTTAGTGTTTATACAACACTTTTCTCTAACAAAGTCAAATTGTATCACAAATATCATTTCCCTACACCTCATACAGCTTTTATGAGGAGAAAATCAATAATAAATATAATCAGTTTCCTATTATATTGTTATTGGGAGTACCATAGCTATAGTCAGATACTGGCCTATCTAACATAAAAGTCAGTTGTATTACATAGTTCTACCTGGTGTGCAGAAATTGACTTCACACAAATTATATGTCACACATACCTCGAAAATAGGGTATTAAAAAAAGCTTGGGGGGCAGCTAGGTGGTGCAGTGGATAGAGCACTGGCCCTGAAGTCAGGAGGAACTGAGTTCAAATCCGGCCTCAGAGCAAACACTTGACACTTACTAGCTGTGTGATCCTGGACAAGTCACTTAACCCCAATTGCCTTAAAAAAATAAATAAATAAAATAAAAATAAAAAAGCTTGAACATATTTACCTTAGTTCAAATGTACTACTTTATGGCTTTTTTCATCAAAATAGCATGAATTCCTTTAAGAAGTCAACTTATTAATTTATAATTCAATGACTTTGTAAAAATTCAATTTAATCCAATAAATTTAGTGTTTACTTTGTGCAGAGGGTACCACCTTCATAAGGTATATAAGTGATCGACACTTTTCACCACCTCGCAAATTGAAAAACTAAAAAAAAAACCTAGTAGTTAAGTACCAAGTCAAGTATTAAAAACCAGCTCACTGCCACAATAAAGAATTTTAGCCCTTTCATAGAGAAACGTGTAGCCTATACTCATTTGAAACACATGCCAAAGTAAAAAATTCCCTATAAAGGTTAATACAAGGAAGAGTTACAAAGTAATAAAGCTTACATCTTTAAGTAGGAATAGCAAAATATATACATTCAAATGAGTTTTGCTGCTTAAAAATATCAGTGGTACATAGTACAGACTTACTACGTGGATATCATTGGTCAAAACAGTTTCACAACTATCACTTTGGCAATGCCCTAGGTGCATGTGTATTTATAATATAGAAACATATTGTGAATATATCAACTACATATTCATAATATATATAATCTACATATCACCTATGTATATGTATAGCATACACATATAGAGAAAGACAATAATAGAATAATGACTGTCTTTTTAAAAGGACCCATATGCTATTTCTTAATAATTCTTATTTGCTAAGTAATAAATTTACCTTCCTCAAAAAATCAGAACCAAGAGCAAATTCAATATCATAATTGATTAAGCAAATGAGAAAATCATCACCAAAAATGTCATATTCAATGTTCTTATTAAGTTTTTTTTAAGGATATTTATCTCCAAATACTGCAAAGTAGAAAAGAAATTATTTTTTGGAGGTAAACAAAAAATATAAAGAAAAGACAAAAAAAGATAAAGACAAATATGGAAAAACCTATAAACTTCTGAAATTAAAATAACTAAAAATCAATAATCATATCAATAAAATGAATCTACTACATATATTTTAGATTTATAATTTGTTTTATAGACACAACTACAAACAACTTTTGAGAACTGACTGAAGCTAATTTGTCAGTGAAAATGAGCAGCAATGTGGTTTGATTCTACTTAAACTATAAATGCAAGTAAAAACACATTGCTGAAATTTGAAAGAAAACTAATGGCTAGTTAAGTGATAAATTCATCCTCGTCTAAAAATTAGAGCTATGAGCAGAAATGCAGGAAAAGAAAGAATAATAGAAATAAACACTGCCAAATGTATGTAAGGACACATGAGAAGCAAGCTGATGAGACAGTTAAAACAAAATTTTTTATCCCTTCCATCAGGAAAACCAAGTATTGTAGGAAAACACAGTAAGATTATTAAACTGACTTAATTTGAGTTGAATTGACATTTAATTGAATTATCTAATACCAAGCTGAATTAATATTTAATTTCCCATAACTATAAAGAAAAACAACTTAGTTATTTTGTAGTTTATCAATTAATTTATACATGCCTTGGTAAATACACATCCTTATGCATTTAGAGAAAGACAAACACATTCAATATTTTGTAACTAAAAGAATATGTTGAAATTTGCAATATAAAGCATTTGTGGTCATTTTCTTTAAAAAATTTTTTCTAGGAGATGAAAATATATTACCTGTTTTACAAACCACTTCCTGTAACTCAGCCATAGAACTGATTACTGCAGCAAGAAGTTCAGAACTAGTAAGCCAACTAACTGCTTGAAGACAACGCATCTGCTCTGTTCGATGTCCTGGAGTGAAGAGAAAGACAATGTGAAATGTCACAAAATATAATAAAATTCATATGTAAATATAATTGTGATATTCAGCTATTTTAGAAATAGATCAAAATAAAATATACATATAACTTTTTCCAAGTGTTAAATTTTAGATGCTGTTGGTGCATACTATTTATGCCTTCAATATTAAATGAGGTCATAAAAGGTTTGAATGGGAACAAAGAAAAACAGGTTCTTAGCACTAAAGCTGCTGTGTAAGAGGTCTCTTAAAAGCTGAGGGACTAGGGAGAGCGTAGTTTTTATTTTTTCCTCTAAAAATGCCTTGAAATACATTGTTAGTTGGGAAACTCAAGTTGGATTTTTAAGTAGTTTTTACTTTAATAAGGACACATTAAACTGATATATAAATTACTTAGAAGACATTTTACACAAGCCAAATTCTCTGGATTTCCTTAATTCACTGAAATTACTTTGTAAAATGTATAATTACCATAAATGAAGAAGAGTTTTGCAAATTGTGTATTACTCCACTTTCCATGAAAACATAATTCAAATGTAGCAAGGCTCATCAAAGAAACAATAATAATACTTAACATACTACAGAGACAAATACTACTTAATCAACATTTTTATCTCTTCATATACAAGCAATATTTGAGGTCTATTTTATGATACATAAACATGTACATATGCATATATTGTTCTATTCTTGTTTATTTCAAATAGTTTTCAAATAATTGTTAGGAATATTCATAGATTATACTTTACTTACAGGTAAAATATATAAGGGAAAGGACTAGTTATCTTACTTGGCAAATTATGGTTCTCTTTGGGTTCTCCTGTACATACTAAGATTCCTATGCCTTCTTTGAAGCTCTCCATCCATGTAAAAAGAGAGCCACACTTTTGGCCAAGAATCTGAAGTCTTTTTGCTGCCAAAACAGCAATCACACCTTTCCGGAATACACGTATCAATCCTTTGAAATGTTTTTTCTTCAACTTGGCTTCATTTTGCTTCTTTTCTTCTACATCAGACAAAGCCTGAACCAGAGTTCTAATTTCCTGTTTGAGCACGTCGTACATGTTAACCTGATCCTGGAGAAAGTCTCTTTGTGTTGACAAGGCACATGATCGACTATATAAAGGACATAAAGCACCAGACATTAATGCACAGGCTGCCAGTAGGGATGTATGTTCCTTTTGAGTCTCAGCTAACATATTTTTACACTGTGAATTTTCAAGAACCAACTCTTCATTAGATTTTTCCATAAAGGCTGACTTTTCCACATTTTTTTCAGCAATTTCTTGATATTTCTACAAAAATAAAAGGCATTAATGAGAAAATTAATGAGAACTATGTCATAAAACAAAAGAATATATATTTATTCAATTCCTGTTATACATAAGACATTAAAATCTTTGCCAACCATTCCTTCTTCTTATAAGAAATACAAGCACTAAAACACTACAAAAACATACATGATAACATGAAAGAGAACCAATCAACTTTCTCTTTATGGACTTTGATTTTAAAGTCTGAAAGATTTTAAAGCCTGAAAAAAAGACTCCACATAAAGTTGAATAATGAAATTATACAGTACTCATGAATTTTCTAGATGTATATAGCAGTATGACATATAGTGAAAAGATCACTGGATACTGTCAGAAGACCTAGGTTCAAGTCCCAGTTCTCTGAGCTACATTCTTATCCATAAATAATATTTATGAGAATAATAATATTTGTACTATCTACCTCACAAGGTTATTGTGAAGAAAGTGCTACATCAACTTCAACTACTAAATGAATGAGTTCTTGTTATTTTGAAAAGAAATTTTTTTTCTGAATAATGTCTGCCACTTCTTATCCCTCACTACTTAAAATTCCTGCTTCAAATAGTAACTGTGCTTCCTGCAGTGGCTTTCTTACACAGAATATATTTCATTCAGGCAAAAAAAAAAGGTTTAAATTTTCAAATGTAGGAACTGAATCCTTGCTGGCACAGAAAAAGGAGAGAGCACACGCTTCTCTATACCAGATGAGCTAACACCCAGGTCCTTCTTTCTTTTGGTTACATTCTCATCTGCCTGGGGCAGGAGACGAGATGAGTAGAAGGGATAACAGGAAAAAGAGACAAGATATAGAACTTGAAGTTCCCCAGCACATCAACAAAAAAGGAAATTGTTACATCAAGTACCTTATCATTCCTTTTCTAGGTCAAAAAGCACATAAATTCCCAAACTTTTCTCAATTTAAATGAAAAGAAATCTGAAACACAAAGACCTTTTAATTATTTGCAATTCACCCCTATTTCCCAGAAGTTTTTTGGCCTGAGAATCAAAGAATAGCTGAAGAAGAAACAAATATTATCAGATTTAGATTTCAATTTATTTTTCTGCTATATACTGTGTAATCCTAGCTGAGTTTCTGATCTCTAATAAATCGAACTACGACTTTCAATATACTTTCACATAGCAGTACCTTAGTGATCTCACTGATGTGAGAATTTCCTCCAATAGTGCAAGATTACAAGCCATCCATGCCTTCTCATCCTCTGAAAATGGTTCATGGATACTTAGATACTCCACTGAGGATCCAAAGAACTATAAGCCTTGCTCTATGTCTTTGTACATTGGGCAGTTTTTAGTGCAACACTTGGGTTGTCCATCTCATTCTGACCATATGACCAGGACCCTTCCTTTTCCAATACATTTCTACAATAATATCCCTTAAGATACCCCTTGCATGTAGCACATTAATGGAAACAGGCTATGGCCTACTTGTGACCAGTATGGCTCTCTCCATTGTCTTTTTAATCTTTGATATCTTTCATTTACTGGAGATTAAAATGGTTCAAGATTTGTTTCATACAGCATCACTAGGACAACATTTATGTTAAAAATGGGTCTTTACATCAGGAAGCAGTTTCTAATTGTGAGAAGCATACACAATTCCTCAATACAATTCAGCCTTCTTTCTTACTCCTTTTCGAGTATGAGCCAAACTCACTGTCCATCTTCAGAGACTATCCAAGCTATACGCATTGACATACTAACTCAATGAGCTGGACACCTATCTACATGGCATAGCCTGGACCAAAAGCATTTTTTATCCATTGGAGACAATTTGAGCAATCCTGGAAATCTATAATACCACAATCCTATAATCTCATTTTAAAAGGTCCTATAATATTTTAGTTACGGTTGTACTTAGCACAGTATCATCTGCAAAGAGAAGTAATGGAGAGCCTTATCATATAAAAAGAATCCCTCTTCCTCCCATTGGTTCTAAGTCTTCTTTACAACATGACTAATGTGAAAATATGTTTAATATGAATGTATATGTAGAGCCAATATCAGATTGCATGCCATCTTGGGGTAGGGAGAAGGGAGGAAGGGGGAAAAATATGGAACTCAAAATCTTATGGAAGTTAATGTTGAAAACTAAAAATAAATTAATAGTTTTTTAAAAATTAAAAATAAAAAAGAATCCCTCATTCAACTGGACTAGAAGACATTCTCCATGTCAGTGGCAAGTCTCCCTATTCTATTTCCACTTGATATTAATAAGCCAGGAGTCATCAAATAGTATTTTATCTGTAATTATATATCATCAAATCTTGCACAATTTTAACATATTCATGAAAGATCTCAAACTTTGACAAGAATAGAGATGTAGGAGCCAAGGATAAGACCATGTCAGAATGCAAATTCATTTGTAAAACACTATGGAGCAGGATGTTTGGAGATTATGAGCAGTAATGCCTTACATAAATGAAAAGCAGTAAAGAAAAAACAAGGCAATTGAATAAGACCCAATTGAACCATATTATTTCACGAGGATTAATAGATTAAACTGACAGGAGGAAAACAGACAGAAAAATGGACCAAATCTGTAGATGCTTTTAGTTGATGTTTACATCTTCAGTACAATTACACACTAACACCTCAAGTCCTGACATGCTATACATTAAAAAAATAAAGTTGCCATAGCATATAAGAAGCAACAAAGTAGAACATGAAGATAACCATGTTGGAGAAGACAATCTTGAAAGCATCACTGGATTGCTTTCCTACAAGACACCTTTGGGAAGAAAAAAATTTCAAAAGTATAGAAAAATCATAAATAATATCATTTCCCCTAAGTGCAATTATAAGAACATCAAACTATTCATCCCTATTTTTTCTTTCTCATCTTTATGAAAATGATCTACATATATATCAAGGGCTTCCTTGATGAAAATAGGAGATGGAAACAAACAGACTTTCATAAATCATTCTCTGTAGGAGACCACACCTTTTTGTCACACATTTGACTTTGTTGATTACAAAATGGAATTTGACTTTAAATAGCAAAATGTAGCATTAAAATTCATAATCCAACAAGGAAAATATCAAAGCTTAATGAAAACTGGCAGAGGTTGCATTAGACTAGGACTCAAATCTTCATAGAGGTTAGCTCCCTACTCATAACTAATGCCAAATTTTAGAAAAAAATCAGAAGAATGTTATAAGTGAATTCAGTCTCATTAAGAGCCCAAATCCTCTCCCAAACTAATTCTAAAAGTTCAATTCGAATAAACAAAAAACTACAGGAAACCTGGGGGAATAAAATGGACAGATTGGCAGCAGCTGGATAAGGGAACATAAAGGTGAACTCTTAATTGCTTTGCAGTCAACCCCCTACTTATATATTAAGAGATTAATTATGTCTCAAGCAGAAATGTTTTCAACCAAACAATACCCTTAAAACATACATATACACACATACACACACAGAAACACACCAATCTGTAGATCTATGCTCATTGGTTTTTTTCATGTAATTTTATAGTATTTATGTCATATATTATTTGTATAACAAGTAATATCAACACATATGTTTTATATATGGTATATCAGGACTTGAGGTGTTAGTGTGTAATTGTACTGAAGATGTAAACATCAAGTAAAATTTTATCCATATTGTTGTATACATACATATATACACATGTTATCTCTCATGCTACCTTCACTTGTTTTTTGATCTTGTCATTTTGTTCAGTCTAGTTTTTTTTTCTTGTAATACCAAAAGGCACAAGGCACTCTTTTTAAAATATATTTTAAATTTATTATTTATTTATTATTAGCATTCTTTTCTTTTTAAATGTTGATTTCCAAATTTCCTCCTTCTCAACCCCACCCAAACTCACTGAGAAGACAACCAATATGATATTACACATGTGAAATCATGCAAAACATATTTACATATTGGTCATATTAAAACAAGAAAACAAGAAAAATAAGTAATAAAATTATGCTTCAGTTTGCATTCAGTGTTCATAAGTTCTCTCTCAGAAGGTGGACACAATTTTTTCATCATATTGTTTTTCAGTCATTTTCAGTAATGTCCAACTCTTCATGATCCCACTTGGGGTTTTCTTGGCATTGGAATGGTTAATGAAGTGGTTTGTCATTTCCTTCTCCAGCTCATTCTACAAATGAGGAAACTGAGGCAAACAGAATTAAGTGACTTGCCAAGAATTAAGACAGCTAGTAAATGTCAGAGAACAGATTTGAATTTAGAAAGATGAGTCTTCCCAACTTCAGACCCAGCACTCTATCCTTTGCACCACCTAGTTGCCTCATATGTCTCTCTCTAGAGATGGATAGAATTTTTTCATCATGAGTTCTTTGGAACAATCTGAGATCATTACATTAATCAGAGCAACCAAGTTTTTCATAGCTAATCATCATTACAGCATTGCTGTTACTGTGCAATTCTCATTGATAATATAGTTCAAAAAATGGTTTGGTTCATAGCCATGGGCTACAATTATCAGTAGCATGAGGATGAGAGTAAAATATTTCTCTTTAGGTAAGGGGTTAGTTTTTTTCTTGCCACTGACTAAAGTATGAAAGGAATTCACTCTTATACCCAAGATCTGCTACCTCCAAGTTCATTCCTTCCTTAATTTGGTTTCTACAACCATCCATAAATATCAGTGACCTTTTTTGTTGTTATAAAAAAAATTAAATTGAAAGAGTAAAGAATAGCAAGTGTTATTTTAACATGTGTTTTATTTTGTGACATTTTGTGACACTGAGGAAATACAGCTATTTTGTAATACTAGGATTAAGAATTACAGTTTAAACTCCACAAATATTAAATTATAATTCTGGGGACTACAATGATGACAAATTAATACTGATGCAAAAAAAATTTTAAATATCAGCAAAGTGGCTATAGCAACATATCAAAGATAATACACTATGACCACGCTACATTTATATAGGGAATACAGGTTAGGTCAATATTAGGGAAAAACATTAATATA